CCTGTCTCAAAAAAAAAAAAAAAAAAAGAAATAGCTACACTACTGATGGCATATTTTCTTTTGTGTGTTCTTTTTCAGATCTTAAATGCTGCCTATCATGTTGAAGTCACGTTTCACTCAGGGTCCTCAGTTACAAGGATGCTATGGGAGCAAATCAAGCAGGTAGGGGTTGCTTAGAGAAAAGTTTTTCAGCCTCTAGTTGATTGAAGTGAACCATGGTCACTCCAGTAGAAAACAGATGTCTAGGATCTTCTGTTAACGTAGGGTGGCCATTCGTTCTGGTTTGCCCACCTGGGAGAATTCTGGTTTGTGCCTATTCTTAAATAATTATTAGCTCTTTAACAACTAAGAGTTGTGAGTTTAAATGATAATTTTATGTTGGGTGTTCTTCGCAGACAATGAAGAAAAACCCAGTATTTTGTGGTAGAGTGGTAAGACTCTACCTTTCTAGCTTCTTCTTATTTCCTTTTCCAGCTTAAACATTTTCTCAGAACCAGGCTTTGTTGTTGCCAGAGGCCATGAGGGTAGTTCCTGTCCTGGAATTTGATCTGACTCTTACGTAGTTATTTACTGACTTCAGAAAAAGATTTATCAGGCACCCCTTGGCACTGAATATAATATGCTGCGGGTTTACAAGCACATTGACTAAGTGTAGATAATGTATTATGTGATACCTTCCTCCAGGCTAAGGCCTAATTTTAAGGTAGAAGGCATCGGAGAAGAACCTTGGACTTCATATAGCTCCTGTGTTATGAGCCTCCTGTAATGACTGGGTAACCCAGAAAGCTAGGGCAGTGGGGTTTTGTGGTTATTTCTGTCTCCTGTTCCTCAGTGGACCCACTGTTATCCTGACAGATCATCCAGCGCATCACATGGGTGAGTCCACCTGCTATCACTCTGGAATGGAAGAGGAAGGTGGCCCAGGAAGCCATTGAGAGCCTCAGTGCCTCCAAATTGGCCAAGAGCATTTGCAGCCAGTTCCGTACTCGGCTCAACAGTTCTCATGAGGCTTTTGCAGCCTCATTGCGGCAGGTTGGTATGTAGGAAAGGAGATACAGCTGGATCAAGCAGAGAATAGCCTCATCTGGAGGGGAATATTTTGCTCTCAGCTTTCCGTATAATTTTTATTTATTTATTTATTTTTAATTATTATTTTTTTTTAGACAGAGTCTCACTATGTCCCCCTGGGTAGACTGCCGTGGTGTCATAGCTCACAGCGATTCTTTTGCCTCAGCCTTCCAAGTAGCTGGGACTACAGGTGCCTGCTACAATGCTCGGCTATTTTGTTGTTGTTGTTGTTGTCATTGTTGTTTAGCAGGCCCTGGCCAGGTTTGAACCCACCAGCCCCAGTGCATGTGGCCAGTGCCCTAACTACTGAGCTACTGGTGCTGAGCCATGAGCTATGGGTGCCGAGCCTGTTTATTTTTTTTGAGACAGAGTCTCAAGCTGTTGCCCTGGGTAGAGCTGTGGCATCATAGCTCACAGCAATCTCCAACTCTTGGGTTTAAGCAATCCTCTTGCCTCAGTTTTTTCTGTTTTAATAGAGAAGGGGTCTTGCTTTTGCTCAGGCTTGTCTCGAACTCCTGAGCTCAGGCAATCCACCTACCTCAGCCTTCCAAGTGCTAGGGTTACAGGCATGAGCTACTGCCCCCGGCCGTATAGTTTTTAAAAAATCATCAGTATATATTCTTTCTGTTCTGTTACATTATAAGAGCACAGTGGCTAGGGCACCAGCCACATACACCCAGGCTGGCAGGTTCAAACCCAGGCCTGGGCCAGCTAAAACAACAATGATAACTACAAGAAAAAATAGCTAGGCATAGTGGCAGGTGCCTGTAGTCCCAGCTACTTGGGAGGCTGAGGGAAGAGAATCACTTAAGCCCACCAGTTTGAGGTAGCTGTGAGCTGTGATGCCATGACACTCTACAGAGGGTGACATACTGAGACTGTGTCTCAAAAAAAGAAAAAAAATTCATGTGGACATTTTTCTAACTGTAGGGAGAATGGAGGGAGCTCAGTGAATTTCTCCCCATTTCACTGAGTGAGTTAAGAAGATGGAGTAGGACTTTTATATAAGCTTATATAGTATTTTAGGAATGAATGACAGAAGGAGCTGACTTTCCAACTTCCATATTATTTCATAATTATGTGACATCTGCTTTCCTATTTGGGGTGTGTGTGCATGTGTTAGGGCAGGGAGTGAATATGTGTGATTTTGCATCCAAGAGGGAAAAATTATTGAGCGTCCACTACGTGCCAGTCTATGTGCGAAACATGTTACATCTCTTTTATTTAATTCTCACAATTTCCCAGACAAGATAGATATTGTTAACTCTAGTTAATAGGTGAGGAAGCTGAAGCTAGGTACTTGATCAGTTATACATTTTTTCCTGTTTTCCTCCCAGCTGGAAGCCGGCCACTCAGGCAGGCTAGAAAAAACTGAAGATCTGTGGCTGAAGGTTCGAAAAGATCATGCCCCCCGCCTGGCCCGCCTTTCTCTGGAGAGCCGTTCTTTACAGGATGTCTTGCTACATCGTGAGTCCTTGTTTTAGTCCAAGTAAATTGGAGGAGGGCTCAGGATAGCTGACATTCTTATGTCTGGCCTTAAAGAATCTCAGTTTCTTGAAACTGCTTCCTTGCAATGCTGCCAAAACGCTTACTGATGTGGTTTTGAATTCCTATTTGATCCTGCCATTTATATAGTTCAAATAACCTGATGGAAGTTTGTTTGAATTAAACCAGTTAGGTTACTTTCTGCTGATTGAGAATGACACCAGAATTTCATTTCCTGGCATACGTACAATTTCTAGTCTCTAGGCAGGTCCACATCTCTGAGACTTACAGAAGTTGCCCATCAAGTTTTCATCTTTCTTATCTCTTATCTCTGTACCTCATAGGTAAACCTAAACTGGGACAGGAACTGGGCCGGGGCCAGTATGGTGTGGTGTACCTATGTGACAACTGGGGGGGACACTTTCCCTGTGCCCTGAAATCAGTTGTCCCTCCAGATGAGAAGCACTGGAATGATCTGGCCTTGGAGTTCCACTACATGAGGTGGGTCCTGGTCTTTTTCATCTCTGTGGGAAGGATCTAGAGAAGCAGATAGCAGCCTGGTATAAGTCTTGTACCAAGAGCTATAGCATGCCTTGTCCATCTATACTAGGTTTCAAAATGTTATAGAGTGGTATTTCTGTGTCCTGCCTAGACATGTGCTCTTTGTAAGGCCTTACTATCTTTGCTTGCTCTTGCCTCACCATCCTGATTTCTCAAATTCATCATTCCATTTAACTTTCTTCCCTAGTCATTGGGCCTATCAGTTTTTTTGATCCCATGATGCTTTGTCCTTGTTGGGAGAGGCCATTCTTTTGCCTTCTGACTGTACCAAGGGTCATTGTGTCAGGACCTGGATTAAAAATGGTCTTAAGGTTATTCCTTCCTACATTTGGCATGTCATGCAGGATTGGAGTCCAAGTGTTGGAGCCCAGAACTCTCTCCTTCTTACCAGGTCTCTGCCCAAGCATGAGCGCTTGGTGGATCTCCATGGTTCAGTCATCGACTACAACTACGGTGGTGGCTCCAGCATTGCTGTGCTTCTCATTATGGAGCGGCTGCATCGGGACCTCTACACAGGGCTAAAGGTGAGGCTAGGCAAAGAAAGGGCAACACCCAGTTGGCAGCCAAACTGACAGGCTCCTTTCTGGCATTTCATCCTTTTCTGTTTATTCAGAGCTTCTAGCTTTCATAAGAGACTGTTAGAGTAATCAGGCTTATTGCACTTAGTTACAAAAAGCTGTAAAAATTTTTCAGAACTTATTTTTTCTCCCATTATATATCCAGAATACTATCATTTATCACTTTGATCCTGTGTGGTAGTGGTAAAAATCTACACTCCTTACCCAGGGAGATAGCTTGAGGCTCCGTCTCAAAAAAAAAAAAAAAAAAAAAAAAAAATCTACACTCCTGGGCGAGGCCTAGTAGCTCATGCCTGTAATCCCAGCACTCTGGGAGGCCAAGGTGGGCGGATCTCCTGAGCTCACCTAGTTCAAGACCAGCCTGATCTAGAGTGAGATCCTGCCTTTAAAAATAGTTGGGCGTTGTGATAGGCACCTGTAATCCCAGCTACTCAGGAGGCTGAGGCAAGAGAATCACTTAAGCCCAAGAGTTTGTGGTTGTTGTGAGCTGTGATGCCATGGCACTCTACCAGGGGCCACAAAGTGAGATCTGTCTCCAAAAAAAAAAAATCTACACTCTGTAGAAGAGCAGAAAAGCTTCCTGCAACTCTGTTCTTCGTTCTCTCTCTCTTTTTTTTTTCTCAGCAGATAAAGCCAGTTTTTGTTGTTTAGTCAGCAAATATTTATTACTGACTACTTTATACAAGGTCCTATATTAAGCACTACTGGGAGGCTGGGAGCGGTGGCTATAATCCTAGCACTCTGGGAGGCCAAGGCAGGTGGATTACTCAAGCTCACAAGTTCAAGACCAACCTACACAAAATCGAGACCCCTGTCTCTACTAAAAATAGAAAAACTGAGGCAAGAGGATTACTTGAGCCTGAGTTTGAGGTTACTATGAACTATGATGCCATAGCATCCTACCCCATTTGAGACTCTGTCTCAAAAAAACAAAAAAAAAGCACTACTAGGTAATACCGGAAAGTGTAATTGTCAGCAGCTTTTAAGAGAATTATAGCTGGGTGCAGTGGTTCACACCTGTAATCCTAGCACTTTGGGAGGCCCAGGTGGGTAGACTGCCTGAGCTCAGGAGTTTGAGACCAGCCTGGGTAAGAGCGAGACCTCATTTCTACTAAAAATAGAAAAATTAGGCAGGTATTGTGGTGGTCACCTGTAGTTCCAGCTACTTGGAAAACTGAGGGAAGAAGATTGTTTGAGCCCAAGAGTTTGAGGTTACTATGAGCTATGATGGTGACATAGCATTCAACCCAGGGTGACAGAGTGACACTCTGTTTAAAAAAAAAAAATTGGGGCTCGGCGCCTATAGCTCAACCGGCTAAGGCGCCAGCCACGTACACCTAAGGTGGCGGG